TTTAGTACAAGCCGTGAGTGAAATAGGTGTCTTGTCAGACTTCCAATAAGGACAAATCATGGAAGCCTGTTTAGCAGGAACATTTGTAACCCTAAGAGCTAAATTGTTGGGTGTTTTATGAACACCAGTCTTTGTGATTATGACTGCGGACACAAAGCATGGCATGACTTTATCAGTGAGAATTATTGTGTCCAAACAACACAGAACTACTTTTAAATTGTATTAAAAATTGCTTTATTTGGCATTGAAAACTGACTGAGCAAAAATATTAGAGCTGTATGTTTCTAGAGGTCAAACAGCAGTTATTTTTTTCTCCAAGCATAAATGCAAAGAAACGAATGGTTTCAGGATCACCCTAGATATGCTTTCTTTTCTTGAATTTGGTAAATTTTCTCTGCAAATTACAGAGAGTAGTGTTAAAGCATATATATATTTTCAGCACAAATTATAATCAGAAACCGACTGTGAAATCAGGGCCTCACGCTATGCAGAGAACACACAGATCTCTGGCTGGCAGAGAATGTGCGATTTATGCGAAAACAGCAGTTCCTCTTCACAGAAATGAGATTAACCGGCAGATGTGTTTACACAAGACTTCAGCTCACTTACAGCCACATTTATTATTGATTGTGTGCTATCGATCCGAGAGCCCACTCCTGGAGAGGAACAGCACTGTGACGAGGCTGATCTCAACTTATTACTCACATTAGCGAGTGCTCCCACGGTCAGTACGCACAGTAATGGTTTTACTGCAGATGGTTGCGAGCAGACGCTACTAGAGTTATTCTAGTGCACACAGGAATGTAAACCACTTAAATGGGCCACAGTCTGTTTTCTGCTCTGTCTTCAGCTCTTCAGTCTGGTATCATCGTGAGCGATAAGACTTTTTTAAAACTGCGGACTGTATGACTGAATCTCATTTTGCATTTTAGGATTAGTGCGTCATAAAATGTTATCTTCCATAAACTGTTGTGCAACAGACGTCTCTTTAGACTTTTTCCAGTGTGTTTTTTCACCCTTATGCCTTTCTCTTTATTATAACTTTTATTGCGATACTGGCTATTACTATGGCCATTTTCTCACAAAAAAGTTTCTTGTGGCTTCAGGAGACTTATGATATTTGATGGTGTTTTTGTACCTGTTGTGAAGCTTGAAAGTGTCAGTCAAGTTCTGTTAAGTAATAATCCTTTAATTTTGGAGTAATTCATTTAGCTATATGCTGAGGCTTACATGCAAATGTCGATGTGAGGACAATCAATTATATTTCATGAAGTCATATATATGTAATATCTCTTCCGGATTGTCTGATTGTGCTGTAGCTGTTACGTTCTCAAAATTTTGTTTTGGCACAATGATTACGTGTTAGGATAGAAGTCTCCTCCCAATCACAATCCAACATGTCCCTGTGAAAATAAGGCAGGATGTTCCCAGTCGTGGGAGAGCGTTTCTTCTCTTCCCGTCCTCTCTCATTCAGGAAGTTCTGATTGGACAGAGCCGTAGTATTAATTCTTTATGTGAAACACTAGTGTTGAAATGTTGCTGCCACTCCCACAGGAAATATTTCATGAGCGTCCTTTATCTGTCTGTCAAAATATCTATCTATCTATCTATCTATCTATCTATCTATCTATCTATCTATCT